AGGTGTTGCTTATGGCCTTCGAACTGACAGATTCCTTTCCACTTGGAAGGAATGGGGCCCATTCCATCGTCGCTAAAGCTCTTGGATTCAGGCCAGATACCTAATTGTTAGATAGTCAACAAGCCAGGTTAAAAAAAATTATATTAACCATGAGAAGTAACAATAATTACAGAAAAAAATGGTTGATTTTAATTTTACCGGTGTCGAGTGTTGCGACGATGGTATCTTCGCCGTATCGAGCTTTCTCCCAGAGGGAAGACGGACTAACAAAGCCATCCTTTTCGAGTCCAAGAAACTCCCATGAATGAGTTGTGTGCAGCTCTCTCTCTTGGTTTTCTAGTACTGATACCACATTTGGATGCTCTACATTTATGTAACCAAAAGTTAATTCAAAATCATCATAACATAAAATTACTTATAAACATGATTAAATAGATTGTATGAATATTAATATGCTTGTATATATATATATATATACTAGCAATCTCAGCAGCTTCTTCTTCTTCAAGAAGTGCAGCAAAGCCATTTATATGCCTCTTGTATGAGTAGAACATCGAATCTCTAGCCTTCTGCTCACTGCATGATACGAGTCGGGAAACAAAATCAGACAAAGCACATTAATTTGCGATAGTTTTTCGATGATTTTTGTTATTTAAAAGAAAAATTGCAATTAGACCTTCCCAAGAATGAAGTGAGCAACTCCGTGTGTGAATCTTCGACACGCTGGTAATCAGCAGTAGTGACATCAGGACCGTGATTATGTGCCCCCAAGTAGACAATATATGGCTGATGATCAAAGAATACATATGTAAGATAAATTATTAACAAATCAAACTTTTGGGAGATGCTACGGTCTGTTCCCCGATGGAATGGTTCCCTAACCGGACCGTAGCATTTAACGAGGAGCAGGACAATATAAATTTTACCTTTTTTAAGGCCAAAGCTGGTTCGTGGAAGGCAACAAGAAGGATCAACAACAGTGCAAGAACTGATGAAAACTTTGAAAGAATCATGGCTGCCTGGTTTTACATGAATGAAGAAGCACTCGAATAGAAAAAAGGCTGATATTTGTATGCAGTTTTGTAAGAGAATCCAATTAATAGCAGAATTATTCAAAATTTACGAGTCCTGGAATAGAAAGAAGTCTATCAATCATGTAAAATGAGTTTTCCCAAGTTAGAGACTTGTTTGAATTCAATTACCTATATGCTGTACTTAATTAAAGAGGGATTAGAATTCTAAATTAGTGAGTTCAACTATTATATATATCGTGCAATATCCCATCATAATAATTTGATCTTTTTAAGGCCTAAATTTAGTACTTCAAAAATGTACATTTAGTACGCAACACAAACTCTCACTTTTAGTATTATAATATAATATAACTAGTACAACACCCGTGTAATACACGGGTGCTTGTTAAAAAATTATTTTTTAAATTTTAAAATTAATGAGAAAATTATATTGAATTTAGTTTACTTTTTTACAAAAAAAAAAAAAATACATATTACTATATAGTATTTTAGAATGATATGTGTTACTTATGACTTACATGTGTAATATTATATTAGTTTTTATAACTTATATCATATAACTACTTGAAATATAAATATAT